TATATATTTATTTAATGAAGTTTTGGTTTAATGCACTTGAAAGCATGGAAAAAGGAATGGAGTGGTTATTTCCCTAATGGTTAAAAACATCCTTACGTAGAAACAGAGAGTAGACCAAGCAGAGTGGTTAACTGGTTGCTATGCTATGATGGCATGATAGTAAGAAAATATTAATCCCATTTCAAAGGGGGGAATTTTTCATAGAAATAATCATATATATTTATTTAATGAAGTTTTGGTTTAATGCACTTGAAAGCGTGGAAAAAGGAATGGAGTGGTTGTTTCCCTAATGGTTAAAAACATCCTTACGCAGAAACAGAGAGTAGACCAAGCAGAGTGGTTACCAGGGGTGGGGAGGGGGAGGAAATGGGAGAAGTAGGTCAAAGGATACAAACCTGCAGTTATGTAGGATGAATAAGCCTAGACAGCTAATGTAAAGCATGAGGACTATAGTGAATAATATAGTATTATATGCTGAAAATTAGCTAAGAGAGTAGATTTTAGGTGCTCTTCCTACACGTGCGCGCACACACCCACATACACACACACACACACGCACACATGACTATGGAAGGCGATGGATAGGTTAATTTGCTTGGCTGTAGTAATTATTTCACTATGTATATTATATCAAAACAGAATGTTGTATACCTTAAATAGATACAGTTTTTTTAAAAAGGCCTTCCCCTGTGCCAGGGAAATAGTGATAACGATTATATTCTGTTTTGATATTGAATATGTGTTGAAGATTCTCCACGTGCAAAACTTTTGGGATTATTTGTAAGGTGTCATAAGAAAGAAAATAGAAGGTATTTCCTACCTAGTAGACTGGTAGAAAAAGCTAATAGGATTAGGGAAACAGTCTTTTCATGATAATTTGCTTGGCTATGGAAAGTGGGTCAAAGGTAAAATTTGGAATTGTCCCCGCTCTTGCCTTACCCACTTCCTGGTTTTTTATAAAATGAGGGAAGTAAATTTTTCATGAGGCCCTTTGAGCTTCTTTATGAAAAAT